TATGAAAGCCATTACCAGCAAACTCAGCTGCGCTGATCGCTGCCGTCTTCCTGGATGGGGACCCCGAGAAGGGCCACATCAATGGTTAGAGACATTATCAGACACGGCCCAGTCGCGCCCTCAATGGCGCTCGTGCATCCAAGCTATTGCCTCCAATGCATAGCTCCTTTTCCAACCCCGTCCCACTTGACAGCCCACTGACAGGGCTGGATTTATGCACCAATTTACCAGCTCGCGCGTGCAATGCGCAGCTACCTACCCCACCCCACCCCCAAATCATCGGTGAACGAAACTGCGGCAGCTACAACCGGTGTACGACCAGTACGCGGTTCTTACAGCTGACGATGGTGTATTCAATGACTAGAAAGACTTTTCTCTGGACAACCGGTGTAAGTCTTCATCCTTCTGTCTGTCTCGTTGGCCATACGGCGATTTCCTGTTTGGCACCACATAAATGTCAGTGGCAAAAACGGCCGCGTAATAATGCGGATTTTTTCTTTTGATTGCGTAAAACTGTTTTCATTTTGTAAAAAATCTTGCCTTCTTATACTGAAAATAAATTTCCGTGTGCTGACACGGTTGTTTTCTTTCCGAACTTTCAACACGTAATTCCTTAGCGTTTGGGATTTGTACAGTCAAGATGTCGACAACATACCGCTAGAATTACAAATGACTGATAAACTTTGAGTTTATTTAAGTATTTTGATAGTAAGCATAGATAAACATTTCATGCGAACTCATGCGATGCTAAATGCATTACATAAATTACCCTATTCAAAGTGTTACCCCTTAAATTCCACATTAGATCTACCTTTTTCTCAGAAAAATTATCACGCATGTCATCAAATCACGTAGACAGATTGAAAAGCAGTGGTAATTTATTTGTGGTGGAATTTATTGTATTAAATGAGTATTCTGGGACTAGACACTATGGCAAAGTTTGTTTCAGTTGAAAGCACCACTAAAAGTATGCAGTCTTAATCGCTCATAAGAATTTTTTAGGGGCAACAGCTCCGACCAGGCGAGAAGGATGCGTTTTCCTTCAAAACATCCAGTTGTACAAAGTTCCCTTCTTGAATAACACCCTTTTATAGTAATGTGATTAGCCCTACAATCTGTTCTATAGACGTGAGTTCAAAGTGTAGGATAATCGCTAAAAATTAGTCAACCTTTGGTCACACGTAAATAGCTTGGGCATTTCTCGCTGACTCGTAAAACTCAAACATACGACGCTTTATCGGATTTCCTACAGTCAAGCTAATTATTTTCATAGAGGTGGACGTAAAAACACCAATCACGTTTGTCGGGTTTGTGCAACAATCCCTCGCTAGTTGCATGTTCCAATTCCTTGTGATTATACATCAGTTTCAGAACCTCACTAATCTACTTCTAGGATCCTGGCGCTCCTGATTTTGATGAGATTCCAAAGTCGACTATGTTTCACAAAATACAAGTATGCTACAGGTGAATCTGGCACGTTTATCAATGGTTCCTTACACTCCTCACCTCCTCCCACCACCACTCAATTCCAGCTTCTTCTTATCTATAGCCTGGATTTCCCACTGAAGGTTTACTGGGTCGGTTTCAAGGCCAATTACAACAAATATCAATGTGTTCAACGTGTTATCGAAAAAAAACGAAGATAACTTGAGGGAGCAACACAGTCTTTGAACGTAACAGAAAGTAAAACATGCCATCCAACGCTGGCATTCTTTGTTTCGTTTGATATTAACTGACTATTAAGTGGAGGAAGAAAAGATTTTCAATAATCGTAGGTGAATAGCCCAAAATTGGACCGGAACCTCGGTCTAGGCTTTCAAACTACAGCATTTCGTACTTCTTATAATTAATTGTACTTTAAATTTCAGCGAATGTGTCAGGTTGTTACTTGAGAGTGATCATGGTTTTGAACTGCTGAAGAATAAAACGGGACGTGGAAAGCGTGCCATGACACCATTTCGACAGATGATACGAGTTCTACCCGGTGAGTTTTGAAGGAAAGGCACACGTTACCACACGGCTTAAACATTGTTTTAAATGTTGGTTCTTACCGGCGCTACAGGTGTGTCCGAAAGCATTGAATAGGTGCAACCGGAGCCTGTCACACATCTTCCGTCTTCCAGTTGCACGAGTGTCTCTTGGAGTAAAAAGCTTTCGAATATAGCAAACTAATTTCGCCTCAATAAACTATGTAGGACAAAGATCATACAATAGCCGTCCTCACTTCCGCAAAACATACCCAAATTTTCTAGCACTTGTTCCGCTTCTTGACTAATTTCGATAAAAAGTCTGGTACCATATTTGAATGAGTGCACCGGTCGACGATGAGAAGGGAAATGGCTATCTGTGTGTACTAATCTTGCAGTTTATGGTCAGCTACAGAAACTGACGATCTGGGGGACGATTATGGCCGACCCACTTTTATAAAAGCAGGTCGTTATCAAATTAGAAGACGAGTTCTGTGCTCGTTCCGCGTGCTCGGTCCAGTACAATAAATCAAGTGTGTGCAGTTATGAGTTCGGGATGGACAAGAAAAATGGGAATTACCCTAAATGTGTGTGTAAAGGTACTGAAGAAAACTCATGATCATCCACTCACGTGAACCGGATTGCGTTACTCAGATTTTCTTCAAGAAATTTCATAAAACACTATTCTTCAAATGCGCTAGTGTTCTTTGTAGGCTCCGTCGAGCTGGTGGGATTCTATGCGTGTTTGTTCCTTGTAGTTCCGTTGACCATTCTTACCGACCTTCGTACAAATGTTTTGCCGCATAGGCGTACTCGATGGGGCACTACAGTATGATGTAAGTAGATGTGACTATTGGTCTACCGCAACTATTTCTAACCGACAATCACGTTTCAGAGAAGCTGTAAATAGAAACTGACGGTTTCTCAAGGCCTGGGTGGTTTCTATCAAAGAGAGGTTTATTAAGCTGGACGGAAAACGATTCTAAACATAATCTTAGGCTGCAACAATTATCACATGTCGTTCACAGAGAACAAAGACCTACAAAGAAGCAATAGTGATTGCATCCCTACAAATGACGAAGTATTCTTACAACACTGGAATGTCTTGCTTAGACCTCAATCGACAAATTTGGACATAAACGCTATAACTGCCGAATCTCAAGCAACCAGGAATTCATTTTACCGTGTTATTATTTCCACTGGTATTAAGAGTGCAATTGCTTTCTGCAAATTCTTGTATCGCAGAGGCGGCACAACTCGTGCTGGACAAGCACACAACAAAGTCTGAACTACCGCAGGCACATCAAGACAACTTCACCGTTTTCATTTTCGACCCACTAGAGGACTCGTGGGCACTAATTGAGTCATCTGCTAATTCAAGGGAGGTAAGTGGACATCTGACGAACATTTGTCACTGCTTGCCATTCGTTTTCTTTACACACGGTGAGAGATTTGTCAGTTTTGAGGCGAGTGATATTTATTCAACAGGAGGAGCCACAATTGTCAGAGGGCGGGGCCTGTTCTACAGTACAGTGTTACATGAAGTCAGTTTAAACATGAGTGCACTTGAATTTCCAGTTGTAGATCGGTGATGTCCACTTTGGTCACCGACAAACTCGATCAACAATGCCTTGCTGTTCTGCAGTTTCCAACCGCCTACAGTGTCTATGCCTTCCAGACACGGACTACAGGGAACTGCTGTCGTTTCCGATCGTTAGAAGCAGTATAGAGAACTCACGCATGTACAGCCACATAGGTTTCACTTACTGATGGCCACAGTTGTTGCTAATTTGATTGCTCCCGTCGACTTGCTCGAGTTCAATTTGCCGTTCGATTTCCGGATGGTTGACCAATCACTATGGTGGCAGAATATCTTCGCTTTATTGTCTGCGTAGCATAAGGTATCCCCTTAACGTGACGTCTATCAAACCAAAAGCTCGTTGGACAGAATTCATTCCTAGCGGACACACTGGATACAGGACTTTCAAAAACAAAGTCCCCTTAAAAATTAGAATCATCCGCTTCAGAGGCCTTTGCTCTCAAGAAAAAATGTTGTCAGAGATCTTTGAAAATGCACGTTTCCAAACCATTTGGAACCGGTTTGAAGTACCGTTTCTGGTGTGCACAGTTTAGGGAGCCATCATACTGAAATCCAGCTCATTTTTCCACTCAGAATGGTGTACTGCGATCGAGTGTGTTATCGGATTACTAGAGTGCGCAAGTTGTTTAGTCCACAAGACCGTTAAACTTCTACAGCAGAACTCAGGTTACAAAGAAAAGTGTACGATATTTTACGAGTATTCCCTGTGAACTACCAAAAACGATTGTCTGAATTAGGGCTTGGTGATCCAGTCCTGGCCTCAGTAACGAAAACTATATCCTTAAGCTATGGCATTCTCTTTGCTACCAAAAATCTGTGTTCTCAGCTCCACATCCAGCTCAGGATGACGTCGCTAGCGTTTAATCTGTTCAGTGTTTGCAGTGTAGGACTTGATGAACTAATTGAGTTGGCATTTTTTGAGTTGATAGTCCGCTGAGTGTTCGCTTTCATTATTCGACGTTCGTAGGCCGAAAACATAGTGGGCGGGCTACAGTGTATTGTTTCTATTTTACCGATATTCTTAGCTTGCACGCTGAGTGGGTATTTGTTTGATATTTCCATCACAATGACGGAAGCCTGCATTTAGTTTTACTTCCTCTAGTCTTTCATGGTTAAAAGAAGTTGGTTTAATTAAGTGGAAACTGCAGTGGCTATTACAGTTGTATTACTGCCATTTGGATTCTGCACACTGTCGCATCACTCTTTCTAAATACGGATAATAAAGTCAACTTCGCAAGACCGGATACAAACTCTTCTTTTTTCCTCATAGGCGGTAATATCGCATTCAAAGGATCGAGTAAAGCAAAGAGCCAAATTTTAAAATTTCGGGAGGATCTTATCTTTGCTGAAGCATTTCTGTTTCTAATCTCTCTGATAACCTCAGTGTTTCCTATTACCTCACTGATGACCATGACATAAGACTGGTGATGACATTTTCATTCTATGGTATTCCTGAAGTGTTTCGCTTCATTCCAATTCTCTAGTCCCCACATATATAAGTACGACCTACAAAGTGTATATTGGAGGTTGTTTGGAATTCGGCATGATAATTTGAAACTCTATCTAGGTGTGTCTGGGACAGCTACGTTGAAAGCTTTCCATCGTGTTATCACGCCAGACAACAGGTTACTTGACGTTTGGCTATCTGTAAATGTTAAGACAGGTCCAGCATATGCTTCGATCGATCATCTGGGGTAATGTACGCTTCTCCGTCGTGCCATCTAACTGCATGTTCTTGGTTTCAGTCGGTTCACCGTTTGGCCGAACAATCGAGGGAGATCAGACGGAACTGCGTAATTAACAATGCTTTCCATAGTAGTGCTGTAGGCAGTTTTACCAGTCTACTGCTAACTGGAGTCATAAAACTCTAGGTATTGCGCACCTAACCGTTCTGCTTGTTTACTGACACCAACGGGTGTAGCGGACAAAACACTAAAACTGCCACCTGAGAGACCCATGGCTATTACAGTAATTGACGTAAAACATGGCCATGCGGTAGACAAAAGAAAGACCTGGACCGCGTAGATCCCACATGAGCAAGCCAAGACGACCTGATAGCAAAAGAAGTGTGAAGCAGAGGCGTGTTTCCAGTATACTTCACCCTGATGCCTTCCAGTTTAGCCATTAAACCGCCAGCCAAATATCACTGGAGACCCTATTTTCTCTGCTGTTACTGACGAATTTAAATTGTGCTGTGTGTATATAAGTAACTGGCAATATGATCGGCGGAACAAAGTATCCATTCAGCTAGCCTGTTGGAAATAGCCTCCATCGGAAGCACATTCGTGTACAATTTCGCTTTAAATTGCCGGTAATATCTGAGGGTTAAAAATGTCCACCTATTAACAGAGTTCTCAGATCATCTGTTGATAAAAGTATTTTTTAACTGGTTCTCGAACACATATAGCGAGGAATTTAGTACACATGGCATCATTGGAAGAACGCTCTGGTAGTGAACCCAAATTACTGAGCAGTTCGGGCTCAAAGTAGCTTACTTCAAATCAGAGAATATACAAAAGCAACCTGGATATACACAGTGAGACTCGTTCATTAATCCGAAAACATGGTAGGTTGCACCAACAGTCTATACTGTAAATGTTCACTAGCGAATTAATTGATCCACCCACTATTGGAAGTGTCTGTACACGTGTAAATCACCGACACAAACGCTTCGTGGAAGTAGGGTATTGTAGAAGATAAGGAGCAGTCCAGTTATGTCACTTTTTGAAGGAAACACATTCACACAAACATGCCAGTTTCGGATGGGGACAATCGGTATGGAAAGGACAACAGTAAAGGAAAGTGCCGTAATAGTTTGGCGAAAAACAACCGAAGAGCAACTGTCCAACTGTGGAGATAGTTTCAACAGTTAAACCATACAAGAATGATCAGTTTCGTTTCCGGAAACCCAAATTTAAGTGAACTGACTGAACCGTCAAGTTAAGCTGTGCGCTGGAAATGACGAACAAAATTTGAAACTTCTCAATCACTCAAATCAGTACAGTTCACGAGCATCAGTCGCCATCCAGATGTCCTGAAAGTTAGAAAACCGACGACAAACCATGCATCACTTTATTTAGAGATTATGTTTTGTTTACCATATACAGTACACCTGCTGGACAGTTTAAGGACAACCTTGTATTTGCTGGTTCTCGTGTGCGTTTGCGGACAGCCTAACAGACACTTCCAGGCTGGTAAAAAGGTTAGTAGAAGTGTGTTTGTCAAGTGTTCGCTCAAGACGAGCACTCACCACACCCTTGCGAAAATGAAGAGTAAAATTTCAATGTATGTACGTGCTTTGTAGGTTTGATATAAGGAACACAATAACTCACTGGAGAGAAAAGCACAAATAGAAGTGGTTAGTGTAGATGTGATCCTTTTTTGAGCGAGAATTTCACAACCACTTACGTCTGAGAT